AGTCAATTATACACCTCTGTATTACAATTAAAATTAAAATTACTGTACGTATGGACTGTAGGCCTATGTATTCGAGCACCCCCGCAAATCCTTCAACGCCAGGTGCAGCAGAATAATAAAGAAATAAAGAATCCTACTTCATTTAAATTCATTTAACGCGGTAGAGTCTGGAACGGATTAACCGCGATAAACGAGGGGCGACTGTATACGCATAGTACCACAGCGGCCACGGGCCAACTATGTTTCTGTTTTAGTATGTATGTGAAGAATTTTTCTACAGTGGTCACTGTTAGGCCAACTGATCAGAAATTGATATTGGCTTCCCCAGCAGGGGCCTGACCTTGGTGTTCAAGATGTATATTTTGTTTGCTGTGCAGGCTGCTGCTCTCTTGTTCTCAGGACTCAGTGAGAGGTAGACCACCTTCCCCAATAGTGTGCCAATGACTGTACCTGGAGCGATCAGACCTGGGAGCAAATTTTCACATCAGCAACTGCTACAATGTAAATGGTTTCTACAGAAAGCAACTTATACTGTAACATACTTGGAGCAGTAATGCAGTTTTACACTAGAGGGTGCTCTTCACAAACGTCAGCTAAATTATTTATGCATTTAGCAGACGCTTTTATCCAAAGCAACATTTGAATCAAAAATATTCCGATAGTGGGAACAGCATGCTCTCCCAGAAAGCCACACACCACTCATCCAGCACCTAGCCACACAGAATACTTTGTAAAAACTATTAAAATACGGACTCAATCGATTTGCACACTTTTTTAAAGTTACAACATAGCTCAGTTTTGCGATGTCAATGTACAAACAATACCCCATTTTCAACACAGACATAAGATCATTTTATAAAATTAGATACACTGCACAGGTCACACTGTGCTTCAACATACCCTCCCTTGCTCGACTGTAACATTGCTTTACATCCCATATGATGATGTAATCATCTGAGGCAGAACACAGAATAAGTGGGTCTTGTCCATCTCCAAAGACCACAGCAGATATGTTTCCATGATGACCTACTAGCTGCAAGGGCTGATTGAAAGAGAACAATGAGTCACTGTTGTTTGAAGGCCTTTTAAACACTCAAATCAATTTCATTGTAATACAGTGGTACCTCAGTTCTCGAACTCATTAGAACTGGAATTTCTTAAAAGTTGAACCAACCAGTTCGAAAAAAAAAATACCTAGAGCTTGATCTGAATCTCAGAAGTCAAACCGCGAACGCCGACCTAAGATAACTTGTAAGCGCAGGGAAATTAGTCTCTCAGCGGAAACAAAGAGTAAAGCTTCAGTCTCAGCCTCGCATTCGCTGTGATATCATCGTGCATGTTTAAACTAGCTGAATACATATATTTCGACAGTAAAAATACATTTAGACAATGAGAGACAGTAACATATGCAGTAATTATTATTATATAATAAAATACATTTAAAAATAAAAATGTCTTATTCATTTTTTAAATATTATTAATAAACCATTAATACATTTAATTATAATAATATTGTCCTGCCGAGCAAGGACGGAACGGAGACAAAGGCGCAGACGTCAGGATATCGGGGAATACGGGGTTTAATTACAGGTAAGGCAGGCAGCAGACGGGCAATACAATGACCAGACTGGGAAAACATCCTGAAACGCGGACAAAATACAGAGGACTAATGACAACAACCAGAAACAGCGGATCACATGGGGATTCCACACGGGGTTAACGAGATGACGTGGGGACACATTGTTTTTTTTTTTTTTAAACTTTACACACTGTTTGGATACATTTATTTTCTTACTTTACAAATTGCTGTTTTGATAAATGTGCTTAGATGTGTTTAGTACAGTATATGCTCTTCTTGTTTTATCCGGTTCGTTTTGTGTTTAAATGCTAAAAAAAACATATTTAGGTGTACTTTTTTGGGGCCGGGAACCAATTAATTGGTTTTCCATTATTTCTTATGGGGAAAATTCGATCAGAACTCGAACTTTTAAGGATTCGATCCGCAGTACTGAACGGATTAAGTTCGAGTTCTGAGGTACCACTGTATTTAAGTCAGGCAATTAGCGATCACTTTAAATATGTGCAATTCGCTAGACTGAGCAGGAAAGTTACCTTAACACCAGGGTCGGTGTTGCTGTGAATTCGCAATTCCGTGCCCTGCCATGGGTAGGCAAAGTGAGAGGAGCAGCAGGCAAGCTGGACGTGCGATACCAGCGCGCTACAGGACACAGCAAGCCTCTCTGTAACAACCAGGCACTCAGTGTCACTCAGAGTCCCACGGCTGCTGCCCTCCATGGTCTCCTCCAGCTTCCGCTAACAGTCTGCAGTACAACAAAGTGAGCCACATGTAAACCACGTTTCAGAACGTAAACATCACGACTGATTCGAAGTATGGTTGTTGGCTCACTGTCCCAAGCAACTAAGGGAATCCACCTGCTTCCTACTCTAACCCCTTAATATTTAGTATAGCATGTAAAGGCACATAATTTAATTCCATTTGGATCTTTTCTACAGGTGAATGGTTACTGTGGTGTGACGTAATTTTTTTTAATTTTTTTTTTGCTTATCCGAAAAGCAGAAATGCATTCGATGGCATATAGGTGTTCATTAGCTCTATAGGATATTTTACAATGTGTTTAACTTATGTAATTCATCAAGAATGTTGTGTTGAAATCGCATTTTCATTTGACCTGTATGGGGTGCAACCGCCCTCCCCCGTACCCCCGGCAAAATCGATTTTGGAAAGCTGAGTTTTGGTAGTTTCAATAATGTAAACCAATCGTTAGTTTTCATAATCAGTATCTCGAAATAAGCCAACAGATATTGATATCGCTTTTGTTAATTACGCTACTGTGGCTAACATTATAGTTACGCGTTTCAAACAGATAAATCTGAGGTAGGCTAAATGTTTAGAATGTTACCGTATTAATACGATAAATTGCCGAATAAAAATTTTAATTAGACACTCATTTGACAATTAAAAGGATTAAAGCACTGATTACTTATTTAGAGTTAATACATTTAACAGCTTTTTAAACTGTCAGAACTTTGCCTCTTTTTTGCACGTTTCAATCAGTCTGCAAACGACACAAAACGAAAACACTCAACTTACATACATATATGCTAACAAATGCGTCTGAGACAGCGGATGAGACAGCAGCGGGATCCCGCAGATACTGTTTGGTACGCGTTCCTTATGTTATTTCATTCATACATTTAGAATTGAACATTGGTTTTATGCTACACCTATATCAGTTTTTTTTTCCTAAAGCCGAATCGTCAACCTAGAAAGTAACTGACTAATAACTCGGATCAACAATATTACTATTACATATAGTATTTGTGTTCATGCTTACCAGCGTGCTCCTGCTGTTGCTTGGAGACAAAATAACAACGGAATGTCAGATGGTTCATAATTCGTAACAAAACATAAAAGCGTTTCGCCACACGGCGGCGCTGCTACCTTTGCGTTCGTTGTAGCAATGAGAAATGCATTTCTACTACTTATCTTTACCCACTTCAGACAAGGGTATAATTTTTCTTTTACCAAAAAAACAGCACGACTTCATACAAAGAAATTACTAAATAAATCAAATCCTAGGAATAATTACAATAAGCACGCGATTCTTGCTTCCTTAAATGTGCAACAGGGGGAGCTCTAATCAATATTATTGGTCAGCTTTAAAAATGAACACAGATGCACGTTAAGGTCTTCACGATTGACTTGCTTTGTGGTTTTCTCCTTCAGTGAAGCGGAGCCTAAAAATATCATGCAATGTAAAGACAAAATGCGGGCCACAATGAATATTGCTTTTAAACAGGATATTTATTCATATTCTATTCATTACTTATTGTTTAACTTACTGTCATTATATTTGAGCTTGGTGATGACTCCATGAAGTTGACAATAAGACATACTTAGATTATGATGCATTATGATAACTACCGTAGACAGGTCTTTGAATCAGTGGAAAGGAAGGGTTCCATTGTGATGAAAACAATAGTGGAAGCCATAGGAACCATTTCCCATCATTTATGCAACGAGAATGTCTGTGTACGTCACTCATGTTAGCTGTACACCAGCCATGCCTGTTCTATGTCTTAGTCAACAAGATTGATTCTGTGGAATTATATAGGCTGCTTTCAAAAGTTTCAAATATTCTGTATTATTCCTGTTGTAATCACTTTTAATATCTCATTTTTATAGTGCGATTGTGTGACTAATATCTGTATGATGTATTTCTTTTCAAAGTTAAAGAGCAATTGCTTGTAGCTCTATACTGGTCATTTATCACTGCATTTGTCACTTTCACCCCTAATGTATGACAGACTTCATCTACCAATAAAGTAGAAGGGGAAAGAGCTGCTACAGAAGGAACTGGACCTGTTTGGTGAAAACCGGAGAACGTGGCTTTCCAGGCAATTTGTCGCTTTACTAGGGTACAGATTACTGTTAGGTATAATTTTTTATCATTCTTTTTCAGAATGTTAGCAATCAGTGATACCAGGAAGGCCATAGCACCTTGCTGGACACCTTAATGGAAATCTGAAGTGATCTATTCCAAGTAGCCTGTCTTGATTTACAATTTTCCTTGTCTGATCACTGAAGGAAAATGTTCCCACTCTCCATTTCCTCTTACACAGGGGAGAGAGCCCTAGAAAGGTCTTGGTGGATTTGATATAATCCTGTTTCTGCCAGTGATGGGGTTAAACCTTTTGGCAAAAGTTTAAGTTGTTCTGAGGCACTGTGCTGAGTACCCAGGCCCTCTTTCATCATACTTTGGAAACGTTAGCTCTGCAGGCAGGATAGGTACACTATCTAGAAACATATGCTGGTGAAAATAAACTGCAATCCAAATAATTATATGGATGGATTTTTGGTTTATTCTAAAAACAGTTAACTCTAGTTATGTACTTTTTATTGTCCACAGTGCTTTTGAATATAGATGTAAAGAGAAGTGGCAATACAACAATTTTATATATATGACGCATGGCTTCCAAGATCAATACATATATATACACACACACATTCTTAAACATAAATGTAGCATTACAAATAATTATGTGGACTGCAGCCTGGAACATTCAATATGCCATTAATGTTACAAAGCAAAAATTGGATGTATTTTTTGTGCAAAAATATTGTTATTAAAAAAAAAACAAAAAGCCCTATTTACATATTCATGCATAAGCCCTTCTTTGAAAAACTTAGACAGCTCTCAAATCCATTGAACTTGTGAGTTCATGCCTGTATTGCCTCCCAGAACTGTTGCTTAAGCTGCGCTGCCATCCAACTTTATATATTTTCTTTTCAATATGCTCCATACGTTCTCAATAGGGTTGTGGCCAGGGGATGATGGTGGCAAAACCTTGATTCCATCTCTTCTTATGCCCAAGGAATCAATGGTGTTCTTAGCAGCATGTGATGCGATGATTTTCCTCCATTAACATTATTTTGGAAGCCATGCATCTTCTTTCATACCAGATCAGTACATCTTCCATTAAGAATTTCACATATGTTGCTGATGTCAGCTTAACACCGTCAGGGACCATAAAGAGGCCTGCCATCTCACTTCTCATTATTCTTGCCCAGAACATCACTCCACAACCTTCTTGTTGCCTCAGTTTGGTGGCCATAGGATGACCATATTGACCATCAGACCCATCCAGTGTAGCACAGCATTCATCAATAAATAAAACAGTTTGAAACTCAGTTCTCACATATATCTGAGCCCAATGTGTACATGCATTGCAGTTTAACTGCCGGCCTCTGGAGGATCCTACATTGAGTTGTTCATGGAATTTCAGGGACACCAGCAGTTTCAAAAATATCTTTACTGCTTGACAGTGCATTTTTACAGCTATCCTTTTAATAATATCAATGTGTTTGGCTGAAACCTTCCATAATGATCCTTTATCAAATGTACTTCTTCTGGATTCTGAATTTCCCTCAGATTTTTTAAGTCTGAGAATCTCTTTTGTGATATATGAACTGGGAATTTCTTTCTTTCCCATATTTAATGAGAACTGTCATTTGCCTAAAAATGTGGAACAACTTCTGTAGGCAGGTTTCTCTTTAATTACCAGCACCTGACAAACTGAATTGCAACACTCTTTACGATGTTTACACTTTATCTGTAGAGGTATTGAAAGAGAAAAAGTAGTAAATAGGATCACAATATGATTTTAGTTTTATTACTAGTTTGTTGAAAGGGTTACTGATGTCACTTGCACAATAATTTAGAACGTGGTATATATCCAATTTGCTGTCATCCCACAACACAAAGTTGTTGTGAATTAATGTAAAACAAATTCACGAAGAAATAATAATTTTACATTTTCATGAATTCGACAATATTTCTTTTTACACGTAATTTAACGACGCAGTAGAACAGAAAATGCCTTCCACGAGTAAACATATTACGTATCTTGAGGATTTTTCAGAAGCAATCTAGCTCGTGTACAAGTGCTATTTCTGGTGAGTGTAAATATAGCACCCCTGTTCAGAAATGACGATAACTTAATGCACGAGACAGCTTGTTTATTCGCAGAGACGAAAAAAGAAAATCGTATGACAGCACGAGGCCTTCCTCCCGTTGGCTGTTGCACCATTCAACCCGGAAATAATTCTACTGCGCTTCTCTGATAGTTTTGAGTCATGGCGGAAATGACGACCTCGTCTGGAAGGGGGCGGAGCCTAAGCTTTTCCGTGTGTATGTGTGTGTGCGCGCGCGTGTGTTTGTGGAAAAGAAGTATGAGTGAATGTACGCCTGAGTCAATATAGATAAGAAACGATTGCGATTCCCAGTACCGACACACACTCTGTAGCATTAATCGGATAACTAAATGTGACAAGTCGTTGCTTTAGTTATGCCAAGTAACAGTTTATTAGCAAACTAGTTAATAAAATTAACTTGTGTTCAAGTGGAATACCCTAACTGAAAATAGCGAGCCAGCGAAGAAAAAGCGGTTTGGAATCTATAATATGAAAAAAGACAAGGCTGAAGCATTAGGTTTTGTCCCTCAAAAAGACATTGTCTATAACAAGCTTCTTCCATACGCGGACAAGCTAGACATTGAATCCAATGAAATTTTGTGTAAAATCAAAGGTAATTTGGCCCGGGCAGTCCAGCTCAGGGAGTTATGGCCTGGAGTCTTGTTTTGGACCCGGAAACTTTCTACGTAAGTAAATGGAGTTCGTTTGACGTTCTTTGTGTTCTCCGCGATGATCAGAGTACATCTGTACGCCGCAATATATTGCGGTAATTTACTGCGATATTTAGCCCTCGTGTTAACTGCGAGTGGGCCTTCTGGACTAAGGATTGACCAGGCCCTGGAATAAAGACCATCCGGCAGCTGTCAAGGGAGCGCCTTTGTCAAATTCCCGATTGGGTATTCACTTCCTAAAACGGAACCGGATTTTATAATGATTCAGTTTATTTTGTAAACGATTTGCTTCGTTGAAGACATTTTTGGCTACAAATAGTCATCGATTTACACACACCGAATAAGTGTTTTATTAATTTCCGTGCACGGGTGTCAAACCCGTAGTTTATTACCAGCTAACAAGATTGTTTCTAGTCCTGCAATCGATATAGAATTTTTACTTTAAGGTCTTTTTAATTTTATTATCCTTATACGTGTTGAATGATTTTAAATGTTGAATGATCAATTGTAGTAATGTAGTTTTGAGGCAGGAAATGTAGCCGTTTTGCTAGTTGACACCGCATTTCCTTTGCTGCTGTTCTGGTGTCAGTTTTTTTACACCTCTACAATCTTGCTTAAAATTTGGAATATTTGAGTCACGTGTTTAGAATTAAGAGTTTGGAAAGTTCACATAAAAACTGAAAACGGGGCTTTTTGCCCGGCACAATGAACTCCATTTTTGTCTCCAAAATAGAGACAAAACAATCCGCGGCGTGGCAATATTGGTGTAGTTGACTCAGTGATTTTGCGAAGCTTTTAAAGCTGAACCGTTGTAGCATGATACATACAGTTGGAATAGCCATTGTAATCTATCGGTTTTAACTCCGTTAGTTAATGTTTCACTTGTAAAACCAACCGGAATTGGCTAACCCCGAATCTCTGAACTGTAGTTAACTGTAGCAGTTACAGCAGTGCAGAGTGTCTGTCAGGTCAAACTGTAATAGTCTCAAACTAAGTGCCACGATGGCTACTTATATCGCTACCAGAGATATTGCATATTAAATTTGGTTTATTTCTTATTTGTATGTTACTTTATATTGAAGCGGGAGACAGGTCGCTATACCGTAAAAAAGACACCAGTTATAATATGGTGTTTTCCTGGGTGACAAACACGTTAATTCTTTAATGTTTTGTTATATAGCTGTTGTTTTTTTCCATGCAAGCTTTATTCCGTTTCGGGAAAATACATCCTTTCACTATTCCTTTTTTGAAGCCGCTGAGATTCCCTAAAGCCGTTAAAAAAGCAGATATGTCTCTGTGGTGTTAGAAAGTGCCTGGCATTTGAATGAATGACTTTGAACAATGTTCGTAGCCCTTCTACCCTAGAGCAACAGGCTTATCAAATCGTCCTGTCCGGTCAATAGTTCTCTTAAAGAAATGGATTGCTTAGGAAATTGGGGGGAGGGTGGTGTTAACTGCTGAACTCCTGTTTGGATGCTGAGGTGCGGCCAGTATTTGCTGCACCAACCTCATACATGTGTCCTGCTAACAGGACCAGCTTCTGAGATTCCGCCCACTTTTCTGTTTTTTCGACATACGATCCCCAGTCAACTGGCTTGAGGAGATCTGACTGTTTTCCAGGATTATCCCGTGATAGAGCAGAGTGCGTGACCAAATGTCAGCTTCACATGCTGTAATGCTTATTGCTCCTCATCTGTTTTGGTAAACAGAAATGACAGAAAATAAGTATGTTTGGCTCGTGTTACAGTCGCATGTGAAGCTTTCCATGAGTAACAGGCAAGAGGAAGAGCTCTGCTTGATGAAAACAACACGTCGGCACCTTGCACAATTTGTGACTTGATACTGGAAATATCACCAATAAAACCTGATACTGCATGGAGTGTTGACTAATTATCCTTGTTTCTAGAAGGGGATCAACAAGTGTGACACTCTGGATTTTTCATAATTGAATATGTTGCAGAATATTTTTCAATAATTTATTTTTTTTTTTTGATCTTCTATGGAGAATGAAAAACCTTATTCAGTTGTAACATCACTTTAACTACACTTGGGGGATATTTATGCAAACCCTACACATAAAGCAAAGAATTTTCCTGTTAACATCACTTTGATAGATGGCTGTTTGTGGAAGTTGTTGGCCGTGTATTATTGTGTGTGTGTGTGTGTGTGTGTGTGTGTGTGTGTATATATATATATATAATATATGCGCACACCCAGGAAATCTGTCTGTGCTCCCGCTCACTTCCCATCACACCAATAATTTTCCATTGTTACCAGAATGCTGTATGGTGACCTTCTGTTTTTTTTTTACTATGAGGCATATTATGAGTTCCAGATCAGGATTACTGTCTCACATCCCAGGTCTTCGTCATCCCCTAGTGGTGGATTCTCCCCTGTTTACAGGAAGGACACTGGTCAGGTGTTCTCTAATGCCCAGCTGTCTCTACTGCTTCAGACTGAGTCATTGGGGGTTTACAGAGATGGAAAGTATGCTGTGGAGCTGACCTAGATTCTTTCAGAAACTCGTGTGGCGAAAGGAGAATGGCCCAAGGCGATGAGACAACATCACGCCAAGCCAACACACTCAACAACTGTGTGGTTTCTTTCCTCTGTGCGATTCTCACTCATGTCCAGCTTATAAATACACAAGTTCTTTATGTGTCACTTTTACACTGCATGTTTTTTTAAACCCAAAAATGTGAGATTTAGGCCCTAGTTAGTGTGTGTGCTGCTCACTGGTGAAGCCTGAGGTTTAGACACCAAAACATTGCGCTACTTGTCAAAATGTGGCCTTTTCAATGACTAGATAGGATTGAGGCTTCTATCTAAACCAGTATCCATTTTCAGTAACCGCTTATCCAATCAGGGTCTTGGTGATCCATTGGCCGTCCTGAGAAGTTCAGAGCCTAGGGCAGGCTATATCGTGGAGGAGGTGCTCAATGTGTGTGTGTTCCTGGCTTTGGATCAGGGCCAGGAGCTGGCTCCAAGTTTAACACAACTCTGTCTCCATTTCATCATCACCTCAGCTGCTCTTCACCTTATAATAGCACCAAGGATGTCTTCGGTAAAGATTTCACTTTAGTAATTTGAATGTCAGCTGAGATAAGAAAAAAGACTATTATCTGTATGCTTAAAACAATATCAAACATCAATGTCTTTTCCTATCAGTAATATCTTTGATACATACACTGGGTCTCTAAGCAATGCAGGCATTTTTAAAAAGAATCTAATGGCTTTCTGGATGAATTAGCTTCTTATCGCTACTCCTTCCTTGTCTCAGTGGCACATTTACCAGAATAGAGGGATTTGTCACCTTTGAATGTTTGGGTAGACCGTTAGCATTAGCATTTTTACTGATTGTGCAGGAAATCCAGTACAATGTTTGGCTTTCCAAGTTCACTGAGATGCCGTGGAGAAGAGCTGTCTGCACATATTGGTGTGACATTGGCTGAACAACACCCCTAGGCAAGTTCTGCTTTTGAAAACTTGGGCTGTTTTTGACATATTTACCTAACACTCTGCAAGCTTTGTTGCCCTTTTGAATAAGCAGCACTTGTTGCTGCCATCCCCAATGACTTGGACTGGAAGAACTGGGGTTTTGAAATCCAGTCTTCTCAGATGACATTCATTCATTCATTCATTCATTTCCCCATCTGCATTACAGTCCAACATGTAGTGTGACAGCTGGGTCCCTACCTTCCCTGTATTGTGAACGGTGGTGTGTATCATCTTTTTAGAGCAGACAAATTTTCCATAGTGCCATATCTATTGGGCTTGAATGTTCATGACCAGGTGAGAGGTGGGCAGTCTGCTTTAGTCACGACAGTGACCTGGATCAGATGTGGGTGGCTGCGTTTATGCTTCTAGGTGTTGCCTCCACCCTTCCCATTTTGCCTTCCTTGGCTATTTCCTCTTCTGCTGAAGGTGTTTCGTTGTTGCTCATACCTTAAAAATATGCCTGAGTGTAGCTGCGCTCATAAAAATGTTCACTTAAACAATAAAACTGCTTTGAAATGAATTTCAGTGAAATTATTTTTCACTTAATATAGGAAATAGACTTATTCAAACCAAAAACAAATGTGGTGTTTATTTTCAGTTCTAAGCATTGTTTCTTTTTATAGAAGGTCACTTAATACTACTGTGTTATACCTGAGCTGCTTTAGTGTCTTTCTGTTGCATATCTGTCATGTTAACATTGGTGCAGTTTCACATACATTATAAAGCCATAAAAACCTCCATCTGACTTTTGGAAGAAATAATGCACTATATTGGTGTATTTTTCCCATACTGGTCACCTCTAAAGGGAACACAATATGATTTTGTTTTCTGAATATTCTGAAACACAGGGAATGTACAGGGAATTCTGGTGATGGTATCACTTGTAGAAACTTGCATATTTTCAGGTATACCTAAACATGACAATTATGGGATTGCAAATAAGTAAAACTGTCTCCAGTTTCCTTGTGTGGTCCAAAGACAGACTAATTGGTGCCCGTAGACTATTTTTGTATATGTGTTTCTGTGCATGGTGCATCCCAGCCTTGTGTCCTGTGCTGACTGGGATAGACTCCAGCCTCCTGCAGTGACCATGACCGAGATAATTGGTTAGAAGGTGACTGGATGGATGATTAAGCAGAATGTCAGCTTGAGAGTGCATGGAGATGGTTGCTTTGTAGGGGTGGTACCAAATAAGAAATTAGTTGGGAGCTATATAAGAATCCATAACTATAATATAAAGTTTGACTGGATTGGTGAAGCTGATGATAGAGCCTGGATAAAGAAACTGTCCAGGTGGCATCTAGGTTTGGTTTTTACAGCCCTTAGAAGAGAATGTCTGAAAAGAGTGATTGGTAGTGTGGAGGGGTCAGTGGTGGTGAGCATGCCTCTTTGCCTTGTGCCAGTAACTAGAAGTTGGTAGCTGATGATCTATAGACTAAACGACTTGTTGAAGCTCGTCCTTGGAGTGTGGTAACGCTGACCTATACTTGGCTAAGATAAATTTGATCACTGCAGTGTACAAATGTACAAAGATGATATAGCAGAGGTTGACTGTTCTCACTTACATGAGAAACAACATTGGTCGTTGGACCTTCTTTTTAGTGGTGCTATTCACATCTCGATTGATGTTCTGCAAGATGGTGATCCCCAGGAATTACAATGATTCAACGCTTATCATCCAAGCAGTGTTTTTCATTGGGAGTTGAGGAGAGAGAGATGACACTTTGTCTGTTCTGAAAGCAATAGCTTCCAAGTTACTGAGACTACACCGGAACACAGTATTGATCACTACCTATCTATGTTGGAGATGGGACTAACTGCGGTTGTGTCATCTGCAAATTTGAGAAGTTGTACAGATGAATGGCTTGCAAAGGGAGTAGCATGCAATCCTGATGTGTTCTGTTGCTTGAGGTGAGGAGGTCTTTTGAGTAATGTCCTAGCCCAATAATCAGAAGCTGATTATTGGGCTGATTATTGGGCTAGGCTCACAATTCGATTCACTCATTCACAATTCGAATTACAATTCGATTCACAAGTGCCTGATTGGACTCGATTTCGACTATTCAATTCACATTTTTAATATAAATTCGTTAATGTGAAATCAAACCAAATCTCTGGTAAAAACACACAACAACAGGCACAACACTGTAGCATTAATATTACAAAGCAACATAATTGACATTACTTTTGCAACCTTCCTATAGGAGAGAGAAAAAGTAGCACCACCAATACGATAAGAGGACTTATAACAAATAAAATTCAGCTTTTGAAAGACACGAGGAAAAGGCATAAATTAACTAGATCAATTTTGTGAATTGACATTGAACCGTCAATCCCAGGGTCACGATTAATCCTAAAATTTATGTTTTTTATTCCCCTACCTGGGAGGTAGTTCCTAAATTAACTAGATCAGTCTTGGGGCTTTGTGAATTGATATTGAATCGTCAATACCAGGATCACGATTAATCGTAATTTTCATTTTTTTTCCCCCACCCCTACCTGGGAGGTAGTTCCTGAACTTTATTTTTAGTCCCTACTCTGGGGTGGGAATTTTTTTATTTTTTTTTTTACCAGAAATTACTGGGGTTGGTCTTATATCGATAAACTGCAGATTGGTTGGTCGAAATTCTGGCTTCAACTTGGAAGTTATGCAGAGAAAAGAGATGGAAGATCAATCTGATTTAATCATCAATTCTTAACAGCATGTTTTGGGGTGTATGAAGCCATATCGCATAGCGGTACTTTGTCAGCCATCCTGTATATTCTGGGGTCGTCCCATAAAATAAGATGCTGTGTCCTGTGAACCAACAGAACTTGTGATTTGTCCCGTGTTCTGGAAATGTGTGATGAACAGCCTCCCCCCAATTCTTCCCCTGTAACTACTTGTTCATCCTGTGTTGTTTTGGGGTGGTGGTGTAGTTTCCAAACCTATGAAATTGTGTTAATTTTAACCTATGAACTTTTGCATGTCCCATGGTTATTTAGCATAAAGATCACAATTCCTGTTGTGCGGAGGGAAAATGGTCAAGAACTACAACCAGGAACTAGGTTCCACAACTTTGAGTAAGTCAGAGACCACTGGCAAATAGGTTTTGATATGCTTGGTTAACCTAGATCAGTTCATAGTTGACCTGGGACTACAGTATATGAACCTGGGTTGACTGAGTACTGCAGGATGTAACATAGTTCTGTGTTGAATATTGCCTCGTTTCCACCAACATGGAGCTGGACCTGGTGCTGGTACCGGAGCTGGGCTGGTTCTTGCTTGGTGCCTTTTGAGAACCTGTCTGCTTTTCCACCGATTTAAAAAAGAATGAAACAGAAATGTTACGTAGGCAGAAGTGGATTTAAAGTAAGGGTTAACCTGTATTTTGTTTTTTGGATTTATTTTGATCTGTTTTGGATTTTAAGTTTTTATAAGCTGCCGAACCAAAAAAAAAAAAAAAAGTTTTCAGAGTGTGACTTGTCTCTATCGTTTGTATCCACTTTTGTTTCCGTGAAGGCTTCCCCGTTTGTATGTGTAAGTGAGTTTTTTCTCGCTCGCGGTTTTACTGCTGTCCTTTTAAGGATCACGCAATAAATGAGTCTGCTAAAAACTGAACCAGTGTTTCACATGGTGCAAAAATTTGTTTGGAACACAGCGAGTGAAAGCCTGTCCCATATCTTAAGGAGTTTGTTCTGACAATATAATTGATATTATTTCCAAGTCAACATGGTTGATGAACAGAAAAATACTATAGCCACCACTCGTACTCCAGGCACCAAAACTTAAAAGATGTTAGTAGTTTTTAAGCATTGTTCTGAAATCCTTTTAAACTGAAAGTGTCTCTGGGGGATTGTTGGAAGTAATACTATGTCAAAGCAGCTTTGTTTCAAAATAACCCACCTTTTGATTCTGCTGATGATGAAGGTGAGCTTTAAAAATGTTTGACTTCCTGCCTCTAAATCTTTTTGCAGGTACATGCGGCTATACGGGAGGAAGTTCAACAAGGAGGATCATGTGCTGTTTGTGAATCTCCTCTACGAGCTGGTGACCATCCCCAAGCTGGAGATCAGTATGATGCAAGGATTTGCCCGACTCCTTATCAATCTTCTCAAGTAAGTCTCTCTTTGCAGAGTTCCTTGCCACCTTGGCCTGCCTTAGTTTCGGGATACTTGAAGTTCCCCTAGAAGACTCAAAACCTACTGCCAACTGGTCAAGAAAGCAAACCCAGTAGGAGCCCAACTAGGCCAAGCAGTTCCAGGTTAACGCTCAAAGGTCTCTTGAGGTTTATGCTCAGCAAATTACTGTAGGTACTGTTCTGTACTGCAGTAGGGTTCAGATTATATTCATTTGCAAATTCTTGTTGAGAAGTATCAGTTTTTGGAAAAAAACAGCCATGTTGTGTTGAGGTTTCTGTTTTGATCTGAACTTTTTTTTTTTTAAGCCGAATATCTGTATGCACTGAAATACCCTTCAGGTGGACATTTGTAACTGCAGATAAGATGAGACACTTCACAACCTATTAATAGTATTAAAGCTACTTCCATTGTCTTTCCTCATTCAAGGTTTGTTTCTAAGTTGAAACAGTTCATAGTTAAATAACTCTGTTTGGTCACCAGTCCTTGCCAGGGAATTTGAACCTGTGGTCTCAAGGTCGTTTAACATCTGGTTACTTCCATCAGGAAAAAGGAGCTGCTCTCCAGGGAGGACCTGGAATTGCCCTGGAGGCCCCTCTATGAGCTTCAGGAGCGGATTCTCTACTCTAAGACCGAGCACCTGGGCCTCAACTGGTTCCCCAAGTAGGTCCTCACCTCACTCTCTGCCATCTCAGGGGTTAGGGCTGAGGAAACTGTCGCCATTGGGTTTTGAAACATCAATTAGCTGACTCATCCAGTCACAGCATTGCTATTCATTAATTAACCCCAGACCAGGAATAAGGCCTGTTACGTTGACAGTGACAGGTGACTGAGGGTCAGTCTGCTGCCAGCAACACAGGAACATGTATCTTACTGTTTTGTGACTTTTCTGGTCATCTACAGTCAATATATGTGCATTTCTTGGCTCCAGTCAATCACAGCTTTTAGACTGGTTTATCTGGATTCTTACATCCCGTTACTTGCCGGTGACCCCAGGATGTAAATGTTCACAATTTCTCGCTCACTAACACTTCATTATGCCTGTCCATCAATGTGAACATATTTGTCTGTCATGGAATAAAGGAACTGTTAAGCTAAATGCTTTGTTAGGCTTTGTATTGTATGTAATGCAGCAGTTTTTATTCCGTTTTCTTGAAAGGGGACCGTCGGCCATGGTAAAAGTCTTTATTGTGTCTCTTTTTTTTAAGCCAGCTTTTAACTTATTATCCCCCCCCCCCCCAAATCACCCTAGCCACGAATACAAGACCCTATACCCCTCAAATCCATAATCATTTATTGTTTACATTGCCGGTGATTTGGAAAGTTCCCTTATGTGAAAGGGGGACACATTGGTACCGTGGCAAACCGTGTGTGTGTATATATATATATATATATCCTAAAAGGCAAAGAGCCAAGTTATTCTCTCTTTGTCAGAGAGTGCAGAGTATTTCTCATTTGCTGAGTATAGAGCACTGCCCACCCCCCCTTTTCTCATTGGGTCTTGGCAGAACGACAGTGCTCTGAATGTCTCTCTGCCTTCTCCCTTTTTCACATTCAGCTCTCCTTGGCCGCACGCTTCCTCTAAACACGTAATGATAACGTTTATTCAGAAATGGTAAGGACAACGTTGTCTTTGTGTTCTGGCAATTTTTTTAAGCACCTGTTTCATTATTTTTTTTTATTGCATGAGTTTCCAAACCAGCTTAAAAGCAAGACTGAACACTCCCACGCAGCTTGAAGCACAGGTCTTTTTAAAATAAATTTATTGAAAATAACGATAAACACTTAACAGCCGATTGGCTTTGGAGAATGTCGCACTGCAGCTTTCGCCAGCTGTCTGCATTTGGCCTCATTGTCACTGACGCTGCTGCGTTATCTCCTGAGTTTGGTCGACGTGGTTCTTTAGTCAGGGGGTGTCAGCGTTATGTCAACATTGTGCTTTCTAACAGGAAGTTGTTGCTCTTTTGTTTCCAGTTCTACAGTCACCTGTCCCTCAGAGGCTGATGGGTTTTGCCGATGGGATTAAATGGAACAAAAGGGGTTTTACCTTGGGTTCAAAAACCGTAGCATTGTCACTGGTGTAAAATTTTTGATATTGTGGGTTTAAGCGTCAAAGCCAGCTGCTTACAGATGACATGTGTGTTCTACCCCTGGGCTCCCCATGCAGCTATCACATGACCTCACTGACCCCAGAGTATGGAGATATATTGATGGACACCTGTCTTGTATTTAATATGAAACTGTCTTTCCTTGTTGCAGAGTTTTCTGATTAATATGACTGAAGATGAAATGGCAAAAAAGAAAAGAATTTTGATTTATCTCTGTGGTTTGACATGTAACAGAAAAATTAGAATGAACCCACAGTTTTCCTGTGGTTGTTGATGTGTGGTTGCATAGTTGCAATTTTCCTTTTCTTAAGGAGTTATTTGTAATGGTCATAAAGAAATTTCTGAATTTTGCAGGTCTAATACAGAAAGAAATGTAAAGAACTGAATCAGGAGTAAATAATAGACTGGAAATGTCACTCCCCTTTATGTGGTTAATGGAGCTGTGAGACTGTGAGGACACTTTAAAATCAGTATAAAAATGCCCCTTTGACGTCCATTTGGTTTTGGTAAAACTGTCGCTGGTAGCTAACTCTGTGAGGCCAAATGGAAGAGCAGGATCTTAGCAAGCCTCTTCAATTAACGCACAGTTTCAGGATGAGGCAGCGATTCAATATAGTTACTCATCCGGGCAAAGCAGGGATTCAATACACAGTTACTCATTGGGACGAAGTAGGGTTTCAATACACAGTTAATGATCTGGGTGAAGTTGGGGTTCAATACACAGTTACTTGTTGGGACAAAGTAGGTATTTAATACACAGTTACTCAGCGGGATGAAGCAGCAATTCAGTACACAATTACTCATCTGGGCAAAGTAGGGATTCAATACACAGTTACTCATCATGATGAAGTAGGAATTATATGCATAGCTACTCATTGGGACGAAGTAGGGATTTAATGTAGAGCTACGCATCAAGAGAATCTAGGGATTTAATGCACAGTGTTCAGCATTTGGAGGCTGCAGGAGCCGATAATGAGTTACATCAAAGTTGCGTCTTCCTTCCTGTGGCCGTGGAAGGTCTTTTGGCACGACATGCCAGCCCTGCTTCTTCCTTATGGGTCACAGGCTTCCCTGGGTCAGGATCCCAGTAGGAAGATCAATCTGGGTGTTTGTGATGAGGTCCTAAACGCAGGCTCCAGTTTTTTGCACGTTGGCGGTTTTGTGCATCGGTGTGCTCAGTGCGCTCATTGTCTTGATTAATAACCACCTGCATTCTTGAGCCTCTGGGCTTTATTTTCTTCCTCAAAATGGCATTTAAACCTCCTCCTCCCCCCCCCCCCCCAACCCCACTTCTCTTCTCCAGCTCTGTTGAAAATGTGCTGAAAACACTTGTGAAAAGCTGCAGGCCGTGAGTATCCTTTAAAAATATAAAATATCGACCATTTCAAATTTGTCAAGTTCTTTTTGTTTTTAATATAATTAAAGCTCTCACTAGCATAAATATTTTCTAAATTGTGGTCATTATTTCATATTATCATTATTATTTATGTTAACTGCTGAAGTTTTTTTGCTGCTGCAGCATACCATTTTTAATTTTTGTGCAGTGCATTGTGGGAATGACCTCCAATCTTACAGTGGTGACAATGTATCACCTCATATCACACAAATCACCTTCAGAGTTTATCCTGGCCAGTAATCTTATTATATTTCTGCCTAAATCTGGCCCATTTGAGAGTTTCCTGTTACTGGGAGAGTGCAATGTGGAGTTGGCGCTCAGCTGACTGACTGTCAGGAAGTCCTCATGACCGCAGAAGTAAGAAGAGAGGAGGTAGAGCAGTGAGCAGATATTTTCGCGAGTTGTGTGCTCATGTGGCCGGGTGGCTATGCAGTCTGTACACAGCTTTGTGTCTTTGGGTGAGGAGATGCCAGACCTGCTCACTAAGCAGCCTTTATTTCTACTAAAATCCATAAACTGTCAAAATTCCTAATATTAGTTAGTTGCAAAGATGCTGAATTGCGTGCTTTGATGACATTGTAACAGCGATGTTCTTTCAGCGCGGGTCTCACCAGCTTGCCTGCCTCCTCAAGGTGACCTTTTCCTGGCTCTCCCTCAGGTACTTCCCAGCATCATCCACCCAGGAGATGCTAGATGAATGGCGCCCACTGCTCTGCCCCTTCGATGTCACCATGCAGAGGGCTATCAGCTACTTCGAGCTCTTCCTGCCCACCACGCTGCCCCCGGAGCTGCATCACCAGGGCTTCCAGTGAGCGTCCGATTCAGGGCTTCACACAGCCGGCAGTGGGGAAATGGTCTTCACTGGAACACCATCAAAGAGGCTTATAGCCAGCCTTGAACCTTAGAACAGCACCGATTCAATTGATAGAGAGTCTATGCGTGACGTATCAGTAGAATACATGGTGTCTTCTTCTTTTCAGGCTTTGGTTCCAAGAGCTAATAGATTTGTGGCTGTCAGTGCAGAACCTGCCAAGCTGGGAGGTGGTAAGTAAAGGGCCCTGGTCACGGTTGGTTTGGGTGTTAATACTCCTAGTTGCAATTAAGTCGTTAATCACACACCTGACTGAGGAGGTGCCTTTTATCTTGTTTGGTTGGATCGTTTAACTCATTAGTGAAATAAGCCTCATGCTCACAATAAGCTGCAAAACAACTTGGATGTTTCTCTAGCGATTGTGCCAAAAAAGTCTAAACGACTGTTATGGTACATTTTCATAACTCCNAGCATCTAGTGAACCTCTTCGCCCGCCTTGCCAATGACAACATCGGCTACATTGACTGGGACCCCTATATTCCCAAGGTAGGTGAACAGCCCCCCCTCTCATTGTTTGACCCGTTATCCTAATCCTTCCCCCCATGTTGGGTGTGAATTAAAAGAACAAGCATAAAATGAGCATCATTGCTACCAGTAACGGCATAGCAGAAATTATGAATGCAGTAACTGTCTGGAAGTCTCCTGCTCCTGGCCAGCCCTAGCAGTGCTCCGTGTTTCCCTTACACCTCCGATAGGAAGGTTATCAGTATCCTGTTGCACCCAATGGTGGCTGTGTGTTATTCCTGGGAGATGTACACTGTGCATTGTTCTTCTCTTGCGTAGATGCATGCTCCTTTACTCATTTACAGCATTACTGAGCCAGGCAGTCGGTTCTGCTTTTCACAGATGACTGGTCTGATCTGAGCTCTCTGTCCTCTGTGTGGGTGTTTGTTTGCTTGTTTGACTAATTATCCAGGTTGGCATTCTACCTTCAACTTTGTACCTATTTTGTTGGATTTTCAGTTGAGCAATTTGGAAGTACCTTACCTATCTGCATTTGTTATGCGTTATATCTGCACTTTGACAGTATCATCAGGTTCCTCTGTACCTGTGGGTACCCTGTTTCTCTGGCCTGTTACTCTGTAGACCGGGACTGTATGCATGCTTGCTTGCTTGCTTGTTTTACACATTGCCTGCAATCTAAGGGTCTGGCCCCTGATTCTAGACCCCCGACAGCAGAGGTCAATCTGTTGCTGCCGATCAGCATCCTCTGTCGTATCCAGCAAAACAGTGTTGATAATGGCCCATTCCATTAGTCAGCTTTTGTGTGAATAAACAAATGGCTTTGTTTAAAATGGTGAGTTTGTTTCCTATGATTAATGAAGTCACCTTATAAATAACACTTTTTATTTCTTACAAAGGTCTGATCCTTCAAGCACCTGAATAGTTCTAAGTAGTTTTACTCTTTGCCCTTAGGTTTGGAGATATGTGGTTTCAATGACCTCTATACATTTCAGATATTTACCAGAATCTTGCGAAGTTTAAACCTTCCGGTGGGAACCAGTCAAATGTTGGTTCCGAGATATGTGACGAACGCCTATGACATCGGCCACGTCGTCATCTGGGTGTCCTCACTTCTGGTTAGTGTCCCAAGTCATCCTCTCCCTGTGCATGATGAATATGCAGGCCTTTTTGTGTGGAAATGAAGAATTTGTTTGTCATAGAAAATGTGAATCAGAATCCCAGTGTTACTTGGTTTTAAAAGGGAGGCATGACACAGGTAAACCCGAAAAATATTATTGTGGCCAACCAAGTGCTTTTACCCTAAGCTTGGGCTGCTTTCCTGGGTCAGGGGGCACAGGTGTGATGGTCTGTTCTGTCTGACAGGGAGGACCCAGTAAACAAGCCCAGAAACAGCTGACTGGCCTTTTCAAGAGCATCACCTCATTCTTCCATCCCTCAAATCACGGCCGCTGGCTGGTGAGTAAGCTTGACGTCAGCATACAGAATGTGGCTCTGCTCTGCCTCTGGGTGCGTCAACACTTTCTCACTGCATTGCAAAGGGGAATTTGTCATGTCCTAAGCTGAGTAGGTGGCCCGTAATCATTGTGTAACAATTGTAACAATCATCAAGGGTAACAATTGACCAGACCTTTTTTAATATAAACTGTGTAAATGGAGGAAATGAGAGACTTTGTTTTGCCTGTGTCTAATTTGTTGCTGTGAAACACCGTGTGTTACGTTACAGTATCATAGCAAATAAATATATTAAATCCCAGGAAGCAGATGGAGTATTCGGGGTAAAATGAGGGTATTATATATGAGGCTGTTGCTAAATTAGTAATGCTTAAAGGTTTACTTTTATGGACATGTAGCATCATTTTTCTATTTCCCTGCAGACTGTTCCCTAGGCATGTTTCCACATATTTAAGTAACAGTTGGATCCGAATGCTGACTTTTGATTGGATAAGGTGTCCTAGGGGGAGGGCTGATGTTGCCTTCCTTATCCTTTGTGTATGATTTGGGCATACCGCCGGCGCTCAAGGCGAGGCTGCCACAACTATAAATGGCCTCGCAATCACACATCACACATGCCT